ATCATTCATTGTTGCTTTATCATTTGAGTAATTGGATTTGGAAGGACAACATAATTATGATTATAATTTTGATAGACAAAGATTACAATATCAATTACAAGATGGTAACTATTATTATGATCCTCCATGACGATTTTTTTAGAGATAAATATTTTATAATGTATATATTGAAATTATAATGCACTTTATTAGTTTTCATGTGATATTAATTTATTAGAAGCGTTACTAACTTTTTTTTTGTAATAAATTCAACTATTGTTGTACAATATTAAATTATTATAGATGTTATTACTTATTAGTATGCTTAATTAGTAAAACTATTAAAAATATATGAATTAGAATAAATTTATTAATAGTTGCTATTGTATTCACGACATCTATTGTCGCAATTGTTATTTTACTATCGCGATAAGCCATGGTCCACAATCGCTATCGTGATCGTTTTTTCAATCATGATTGCTATTTTAAACTATGAATATAGGACTTTAGTCCGTATTTTAAAAATTGCAAGAGTCACCATAGTCAAACTTCAATATTATTGTAGTTTTTTTTAAAAAAATATTACTACCATGATAGTCCAAGCGAGATAACAACTTGTTAATAGCCTACCCTATGTAAGGTAGACATGGTAACGGTTCTTGAACCGTCGGTTTCGGTTTAGGAACCGTCGATTAAGGTTTCACCAAAAAGTGAAACCTGAATCAAACCTTCTATGAATGGTTACGGTTCTGATTTGAAATCGTAAAATTGACGATTCCAAACCATTTGGAACCAACGGTTCAACGGTTTTTTTTATTAAATGAAAAAATAAAAAAAATCGAACATTGTTTTCTCAAGTATAAATCAAACATTAACATTGAAACGAAATAACTTCTTTTTTGCATAATGTATAAATATTATAATATTTTTTTACATTGTAATGTATTTCGCACAATAAATCAAAGAGAAAAAAGAAATAAATAAAGAAATAAACCTTCTATGTCGGATGATCTAGGAGTAAAATTTGATTGTTGTTGTTGCTCCCTTGCTCGATTTTGATTGACAGTATTATTTTATTGTGATGACATATGTGAACTTGAACTTACCATTTTTTGTAGTATAAAACAATAGAAATGTAAAAAATTTAAGAAGTATTTGGAGTATAAAAAATATTGTAGGACAATATTGATAATTCTAGACTTAAGAGTTTAAGAGATTGAGAGATAATGAGAGATTGAGTTGTGAGGAGAATGAAAAAATTGAGAGTGTATTTATAGAAAAAAAAACGTTCATATTTATGACTCGTTTGTCACACACACACACACACACACACATATATATTAATCCCAAAAATTAAAAATTATTAGGCTTAATTTTTTTTTTCATTTTTCAGTCTAATAGCTACCGTCCAAGCCATATAAAATTGGTTTTTTTATTTAATTTTTTTCATTTTTTTCGACTCAACTCAAATTTATTAGGAAAGATGTGGAACCGTCGGTCTACGTTAACCGTCGATTTAGAACCACTTGTTTCGGTTTCATAATACCTTAAACCATAACCAACCCGTAGGTAGCCGATTACGATCCGGTTTGGTCAAAGTTACGATTTTAACGGTTTCAATTTGATTTTTTAATGGTTCGATTTCGATTCGATTTATGGTTCCAACCGAACCGTTACCATGTCTAATGTAAGGCTCATCTAGTGTGTGTTTTTAGCATCATTCAATCATCAATAAAAAATTGTCACAATATTAGAAACTTATAAAGTTCAAGAGCTATTTCATCCTTAGCTTTTGTGTGTTACGATAGATTATGGTTTGTTGCGTTCTAATTTCTATTTTGTTTCTAATTATTTCTCTACATCAATACAAGCCTTGACTAATTAACTATAACTAATCATTATGAATTTTGTTTGTTTTGGTTTCAACAATACATAAATCATCTAATAAACTTTTATTTATTGACATGAAATATCTCTTTGATTGGATCTCAATATATAATAATCTACATATAAACTTGCCTTTATAAGGCTCATTAGTGTGTGTTTTTAGCATCATTTAGTCATCAATAAAAAATACATGTATATTTTGTAACAATATTAAAAAGTTATAGAGTTTAAGAGTTGTTTCAACCTTAGTTCTTGTGTATTCTACCAAATTTTAGTCTACTGCATTCTAATTTTTTATTTTTTCCAATTATTTCTCTACAATGTTACAAGTAAAGCTATAAATAGATCAAATTTTGATTCAAATTCGACCCGAATCCGATATAATTAAATGAATAAGGTAAACAAAGTTTTTGATCCGAGTCCGATTATGATCCGAATATGTTAACCCGTTTATTAAATAGATCAAACTCGGATCTATCTTGATCCAATCCGATAATAATCTAATCCAAAATAAAAAATAATATTTTTATAATAAATATAATATTTTTTAAAATAGTAAAAAATTTAAATATGAAAAAAATATATATATGAAACTAGATTGAAATTTAAAGTTTATTATAAAGTTCAAATAACATATATTCTTCAATAATGACGATTGTATTTTCAAAAAATCATATATAAATTTCTTGTTATTTTCTTAATTAAATTTTATGAAAAGAAAATTATCATTTGACTTATATACATTTTCAAGGCTTGATGTTATTATATTTGTCATCGCTCTATTTTTTGTTGTCATGTGGACACGAAATAAAGATTATTTATTAGTTGTTTCTTTTCATTTTATCATACTTTCTACCTAATTAAAGATAAATTTTTATTAAGATTTTTTATTTTGTATTTTTAAATTGTGTAGCATTTTGATTTTTTTTTACAAAATCAATAAATGAAATATTATCTTAATATATTTTATTATATATGTAGTGAATGAAATATATTTTATATTCGAGCAATATATGAAATGTAATAATTATAATTTTTTTTAAAATCAAATAATAAATATGATGGAGCTTCGAATTCGATCTCGAACTCGTTAAAATTGGGATCAAATTTCATATTTTCAAAATTCGTTGTAAATTCATAAAATTTGATTTGATCCGTTTCACTAAACAAATTAGATCCGAATGCAATCCATTGACAATCTCGAGTTACAAGCCATGACTAATTAACTATAAGTAATGATTATGAATTTTGCTTTTTTTGTTTTAACAATACATATATAGTCTAATAAACTTTTGTTTATTGACATGACATATCTCTTTTGATTGGATCTAAATATATAATAATCTACCCATAAGCTTGCATGTTTATATATATATATATATATAAAATAATTGTTTATTGATCCTAACATACCAATAACCAAATCATTTATAACTCAAATTTTGTACATTTATAAAAAAAGAAGAAAAGAAGAAGAAGAAGAAGGGATAAGATATTTTACAATTTAGATAATAAAATCGTTTTAAGTGTTTTTTCATAGTCTCTCATTCTTGGTTTGATTGAGTTTACAAGATCTCGTTTGTTACCATATGATTAACTTATTAGCTCACTTTAAATTTATAACCTCAACTCGAAGCTCCGATAGCATATTTCTTTTTCAAAATAAGTTTGAGTTATGTTCCCAAATTGAAAATTAATTTATCATTATAAAATATCTAATTGCTCGACTTTTTACAAGTCAAAGCTAAACTCTTCTTAAATTTGCCCTTAAAAAAAAAAAAAAAAAAAAAAAAAAAAAAAATTCCCAACTTTAACGAACATGTTTATTAGTTATGGTAACATATATAGCTGGAGTTTGGTCTGTTGATCATCAGCTCACACCTTCCCTCCCGCTTCCTCCACAGCAACACCGCCGCCGGTAATCTCTCTTTATACGTATATTTACAGTTTTATCTTCCTTCCTTGTCTTCTCTCCCATTTTGGCTTTTTAGTTTTTTTGGGCCTGAATGATTCTTGCTTTGAATTCACGTTGATTTTACTATTGATAGCAAAGAAACATAAAATCTGAAATAATCTATATTTCTTGATTATCTTTGTTTCTGCATCAAGCACATGGCGTTCTTTGTCGAAGTTAGCTTGAATAGAATTGATTGCTCAGTTAGAATCTGAATTGAGAAAATCCCAAATTTGACCTTGAATTATGCTCAACCTCTATCTCGAACTTGAATTTGAAATTTCGTTTTAGTGATCTGGGTTGTTCGTTTTTGGTAGTTTTAATGATTTATGAGAACGTTAGTTGCAATTTTGAGGATGCTATTTGACAGTTGAATTGAAAATAACAATATCCTGATGGGACCCAGATTGATAAATTCAAGGTAGTTTTAGCTGTGTTAGAAATTAAGTAGAATCGCCGAATGACAAAAGATGGGCAAAAGTTTTTAGCTTATTAATCTGGCAAAACTCGATAAAGGTCAGAACAAACTGGCTTTTAGACGATTGGATAATAGAAGTTGAAAGGCTAAAACTTTACTGTCAAAACTATGAGCCTACTGATGCATTGCAGGTACATGATATAATGACATGGCAATGGTGAAAGATGGTGCTTTCAGATTTTTGTGTTTATCTATGTAGGTTATTTGAAGTTGTATATATGAATGTTTTCTAGGTAATCCAATTGTCAATCTTTATGATTTGTAATGGTGTCTGATATATATATATATTTTTGAACTCACACACCCAACGTGATCTCTTGTTGCAAGAGACCACTACCACTAGGCTGCAAGCTCTTTGGTATATGTTTTGATACTAGATTCTGGCTACTCTAGACCTTTTTGAATGATGGTATCATCAGCATAATCCTGTAATGATGCTGCCCTGAAGACCAAAAGGGTTTGTTTTGGTCATGGTTCTATGGAATGCGTGTCTAATGTTGGAACAAATTCTTTTGGAACGCTTGAGAACATTCTCTAGATTAAAAGGGCAAATAGAATAGACTTTTTTTTCTTCTTATTTTATCCATTATAGTGTACATTGTTTCACACTTGGAGTGATTCCATAGATTGATTGAAACACCAATCTGCATCTCAGGACTCTGATTGAAACTTTAATGCTTGTGCTGACCTGAGAGAATTGCCATGGCTGCAAGAGGGCATATTCCACCAAATTTAGAAGGGCGTGCTATCCAACCACCTGGGATGATGCGTCATGGTCCATTTCCTGCTGGGCACCGGACGTTGGAACCACTCCCTCATCCGGATCTCTTAGAGAATACAATTGCTGCTCAGGCTGCGGACATTGAACAGCTTGCAGGGGATAATAATAGACTTACTACTAGTCATGTGGCCTTGAGGGAGGACCTTGTTGCTGCTCAGCAGGAAGCACAAAGGCTCAAGGCACATATTAGAAGCATCCAGACAGAAAGTGATATCCAGATCAGGGTTTTGCTGGATAAAATTGCAAAAATGGAAAAAGACATTAGGGCTGGTGAGAACTTGAAAAAGGACCTCAAACAGGCACATGTGGAGGCACAGAACTTGGTCAAAGAAAGACAAGAGCTTGCCACAAAAATCCAACAGGCTTCACAGGAGCTGCAGAAAATCCACACCGATGTAAAGAGTCTACCAGATTTGCATGCCGAGCTGGAGAATTCGAGGCAGGAACTCAAGAGGTTAAGGTGAGTCATAAATCTATCGCACGTTTTTTATCATAGTTTCTTCCTCCTTGAACCTTAAATACATTTTTAAATTGTTAACCTTTCACTGAACCCTCCATGATGCTTAATTCTACAATAGAAATAAACGACCAGTGATTGTTAAAGATCCAAACCAACACCAATCACCGGCTCCATCATCTAGAGATGGATGGTTTCAGGATCTAATTGCATAGGATTTTTCTTTTTTCCTTTTTCTTTCATTAAAGAATCATAATCGTAATATATTATATAGCTGATAATAACATTAAAATTGAATGGTGCTTTCACAGCGTGTGTTTATTTTATTCTACTGTTCTAATTCCATGCTAATTAAGTTTTCTCTGAGTCTAAACATGCTGGTTGATCCTAATTCTCTTGCCTTATGCTAGTGTAATATTTAAACTGCTGCTGATTGCTGTGACATTGCTTGCTGCTTAAATGGAGGATTTGTGAGGAAACTGAATTTTGGGAAGCAGCATGAATGATACTGAAATTGATTAAACATCAGTGTTTGTGTTCTTTGTGAGCATGATGGTTAATGCAGTGTACACTGATGAAATGGTGCTGCACATCAGCAACAAAATACAAGCATTGATATCACAAGGATTCAATTTTTTTGTGTTAATACTTTTTCACTGCAATGTATTGCAGTTTATCAAGTTCTAATTACTTATACATTTTTTTTATCTGCTCTTTTGTTGGAAAGAGCTACATTCGAGTATGAAAAAGGCTTAAATATAGAGAAGGTGGAGCAAATGCGAGCAATGGAACGGAATCTCATAGGGATGGCAAGAGAAATGGAAAAGTTGCGCATTGATGTCCTGAATGCTGAGACCAGAGCACGTGGTAACTTTTTCTTATGTCTAAATGTGGTGGATGTACTATTTGAAATTTTCTTTGATTATTCTTTTATCCTAATTATGGTGCTGATCTGTGTCACATTAGCTCCAAACCGATATGTTGGTGGCTATGCAAATCCTGATGTTTCAGGCCCACCCCCTGTACAGGGTGGTGGCACCTATGTTGATGGATATGGGAGGCCTCTTGTTCACATTGGTGTCAGGCCTGCAGGGGATGGGATAATTCCTTACAGCAGTAGCAATGGTCCAGTGTCCAGTGTTGGGTTTGGTGTTGCAGCAATCTCTACTACTGGTGGTGTTGCTCACTGGGCAGGGCCTTTTGATCCTTCACTTGCTCGGAGGTGAACAGGATGGAGCTTCGATTAGAAGCTATCCAGAAGCTTTTTGGCCTTGTCTGGCATTCTGGTCTTATTGTAGTGCCTCAAATGTTCCATCAGTTGCAACAAGTGAACATGCGTGTCTGATGACGTCTTCCTCAGAGGCTTTTGCTACCTAACACACGCTCTGCATTTGTAAAATGCAGTTCCGCTAATGTTATTGCGTAAATTATAGATTAGATGCCTTCTTCACATGGTAGCTAAAGTTACGTGGCGGTGCAATGTAATCAGTTAAAACATTTCAATTTGCATAGTTCATCAAGAAGCTGCAATCTGCTGAGCCTTTTAATTTCATATCCTCTTTGATGTTGGTGTAGTATTTTGATCATGCATTAGCATGCTATTTGAGGAATCAAACTGGACTTCAGGAATTTAGTTCTTAATTTCTAGCATTCTTTCCGTTCATTAGTAATATTGTTGAATTAATACATAGGATTATTAATCTCAGCAGTAGCTTTGAGTTTGCCTAGCTTCCTCCTTAATCAGAACTATCCTTTTCCTGTCTGCTTTTGTTATAAGCAGTGTAATAATATGTTCAGACCAGTTCGCTCATCTCATTAATGGGTGAAAAATACGAAAAAACCATAATAAGATCCTTCAAAGAAAACAAAAGGTTTGGACTTTAGAGGATACTTCAGGTGGCTAGCCCACACCTTCAGGAGGACTTGGTTGAATATGTAGATAAGCTCATTCCCTTGCCTCCCCTAGACTCGCAACCTGTTAATTTCTGCAGATCAGCATTGTATCTGCCTTTATGCAGGTGGGTGAGGTCAGTGGAATATATAGCAAACGGCTTACTACTAGAGTGAATTGCGTGGTTTGGAAAAGGAACGTGCTCTCTTATATATTGCTAAGCAGCTTCCCCGAATACATGCTAATTCAAACCATAGAAAGAAGAAAACGAAAGAAAACCATAAAATAAGAGAGAATTAATAAGAAAACAATCCTTATTACAAAAGATCAAATTGAGCTACTTAATTATTCTGACAAGACAAGAAGAAAGAAAACAAAAAACAAAAAGCGAACCCTTCTCTTAAAAACGGTCGGGTTGGGGCTACAAAATACTGAAAATACCTTTGTTCCTTGCATTGGTGGAGACAAATAGACAACTTCGATTCTTTATTTTTATCAATTGTAGTGCTCCCACATAACCATAACGAATAGTAATATATGAACAATAATAAGAAGTAAGGCCATCAAAATGAGCAGGACCCCAAGATTCATCCATTTGCTCTCCATTACTCTCACAAAACCATGTCTACAAGATCCACAGTTGTAACACAAGATACTTCGATCATTCTGCCATGTAGCGCAGTCGCTATATTGCTGCTGTGATTCATCCACAGCCCCTTCAACTTTTGTCCAAAATGTGGCATTTACATAATCCATTTGACATATCGATGGTGGTTTGCAACATCCAGACTTCCACATAACAAAATAATAAATATTAATAAATAAAGTAATTTATTAGGAAGCAGAACTGATGTGCATATAATGCATATAAGAGAAGACAATATACCTCTATGGATGATAATTTCTTGATACTGAAATCATAGGCTTTGAGATTCCACGACCTGGACACCAAATCGTCGCATGTTCCTGTAGTGAAGATGCAGGATTTAATATTTTCCCAGTTGTCATTATTGCGAACTTTTTCTTTGAACCATACTGGTGTAGCCATCAATCTTCTGCTTCCCAGCTTGTTAGCTCCCACCAGCGCAAGTCCCATTGTGAGCATCACGATCAATGGGACCATAACTAGAAAAAAGCCCGGCACTGGAAACCGCGATCTCAACAACACAACAATGTTGCTAATCACGGAAACAAAGATCAAGCCAATGCCGATGCCAATTTGTAACTTTGGTAGCCCTAAGAGCTTCTCACAATCGTAATCTTTCATGTAAAGCAACCAAATAGCAGAAGCAAGGATCAGAACAGAAAGAACAAAAGTGATTATTGATAATAAGCCTGCGTAGTTTTTTATTTTAATTACTTTCGCAGACTTTGTATTTTCTACTACTTGTTTATTAGTTTTGGTAGTTTCTTCACTTATTGCCACTGCTAGAGCTTCTGAAGGGTTAGTATTTTCAGCCATATTGAAGCTGATGAGCTGAGACAAAAGAAGTAATTAATGGTTTTGGTGATCACTTCTTGTTTCTCTTATCCACTTCATTAATAACTTTTCCGTTTGTTGCATTAGTGTCTGTTTTTACCAAGTCAAGTTTGTTTAAGCGGTACGGATAAGCCTGGGAGAAAAAGAGATCCTAATAATTAGTAAGAGTCAATGTTGTTTGAGAGATCCCAGGAAGAATTAGCATTCCTTCGCAGGTATCAATGGTCAAACAGATTTGGTATTCTAACAATGTGAAAAGTATTCCAATTACTTATTTAATAAAATAAAATCACTTCTCGGGAGAGTTGAGTTGTGTTGACTATAAACTTAATCAAATAATTTTGAGTTCGAATTTTTATATACGTAGAAAAACCCTTTGGATAGTGATTTTTGCCTCATGCTCTCGATGAAATAACAAGAGGTTAGTTTGGGATCCGAGATGTACTTTAGGATCCAAAAAATAAAAAAAATCATTCACTCATGTATAAAAAAGAGTAATTAACTAATATTGAAACTTTTACATTACATGAATCAATAGCCAACTTGGAAATCTTATTTCCGTACATGTATTTTTGGCCTCTATCCTTAGTAATTACTATGCATTCGATACGAGTAAAAAAATAAAATAATACTTTAACAACGGAATCCGTTAAAATAGAGGAATGAGATATAGCGACACGAGAGAAGCACGAGAGAAGAGAAATGTATTTGCATTGATGATTCAAAATCATACTCAACAATTCCGGTAAGTTTTCTCTTTTATACAACAATGTATGTTCTAGAATATTTACAATAAGAAAATTGAATAACAAACTATCTAACTGCATCATTCCTTGCGTGCTCATCATTGGTTGATGCAGGTCTCGAAATGAAGGATTTTCCCAGCTCCGAGACTCTTGGAACAATTGACAACCGGCACTCTTTAGGTCCGTGTGGGTCGATCAATATAACAAACACCCAGTGTGCGGGGTGTGTATAACTAACTCTGCTCTCAATTCATTCTGTTACTATTCCATGCATATCACCATGCATATTTCCCACATGCACACATTGCACATGCATATTTTAACACTCCCCTTCAAGTTTGACAAGTAGTATATATGTTTCTAATGCCAAACTTGGTTAATAAGTGTTTGTGTTGTTTATCGCCTAGACCTTTTGTAAGGAGGTCTCGCTGGTTGCTCATTCGTATGTATGTGTTTAGTGACAAGTAGACCCTTGTTAAGTTGTTCCCTTACTAAGTGGCAATCTAAGTCTATATGCTTTGTTCTCTCATGAAAGACTCGGATTGCTAACGATGAATAGAGCTGACTTATTGTCACAATGTAGTGTTGTTAGCTTTAAGCTTTCCTCTCCCAAGTCTTCAAATAACCTCACTATCCACATTATCTCACACACTCGTATTTGCCATTGCCCTATATTCCGATTCTCGCCGATGACCCGGAGATAGTGTTCTGCTTCTTTGTCTTCCATGATATTGTAGAATCCCCTAGCTTGACAAGAAATCCCGAAACTAATTTTCTTGTCATATAGCAAGATGCCCAATCCGAACCACAATACACCTTTAGTTTCATTTGGCTTGTAGAAGACATCATCAATCTCATTCCTAAACCTCCTTTTAAATACCTTAGGACCCCGTGAGTCGCCGCCAAATGTGATTGCTTTAGCCTATGCATGAATTGGCTTAGGAGATGTACACTATAGGAGAGGTCCGGCCTAGTGATTGTAACATATATGAGCTTCCCTATAAGCCTCCGATAACTTGTAGGTCTGCTATCTCTAGATCCCTTACATCCGTCTTAATTCCTTCATCAAACTCGCTCGTGGTGAGTTTTAAATGCCGCTCTATTGGTGTGTCTAAAGGCCCAGCATTGATTATTCCAGTTTCTTCAAGTAGTTCCGAATGTATTTCCTTTGTGTCAAGCATATGCCTTCCTTTGATCTTGCTACCTCTATTCCTAGGAAGTATTTTAGGTCACCAAGATCCTTTATATGAAATTTCTTGTGCAAAAAAATCTTCAAAGTCGTTATCTCTTCTTCATCATCTCCCGTGATGATAATGTCATCTATATACATAAGTAGAATAACCATTTTTTCACCATTCTTCTTTACAAAGAGTGACTAATCATTGAGTGATCGCTTGAATCCAGACTTCCAACATAGCCTCACAAAATTTCATGTTCCATTGTCCGTCGGCTTGTTTTAAGCCATATAGTGACTTAAGCAACTTGCAAACTTTCTTCTCCCCCTTAATCTCAAACCCCTCCGGAATTGTCATATACACCTCTTCATTTAGATCTCCTTATAGAAAGGCATTCGTGACATCCATTTGCATTAGTTTTCAACCTTTCACAGCAGCTAAAGTAATAACGGACCTTCATCGTTACCATCTTGACAACTAGTGAGAAAGTCTCTTTGTAGTCAATTCCTTCCTTTTGAGTGTATCCCTTAGCAACTAGCCTTGCTTTGTATCTTTCAATGCTCGCCATCCGACTTACATTTTACCTTGTACACCCACTTGCATCCTATTGGTTTCTTCCTTCTTGCAGTGTTACCGGAACCCGTGTCTTGTTAAACGTTAATGCTCGCATTTCATTCCGCATAGCTTCAATCCATTTAGGGTCTTGTTTTGCCTCCCGGTATGTATTTGGTTCTATAACACTCGGCTAGGTTTGATATGTATATCTTATATATAGGTGATAAGTGTTCATAGGTTATATAATCTGTGATAGGGTAATTACCTTTCTTTCTTATTGTGATCGAGTTGCTTCCGGGGATGGTAGGGCATTGATAATCACCTGGACCAAGCTCGGTGGTTGGGTTACTCTAGTAGACCTTCTTAGATTCATGTCATTTTGTGTTTCATATTCGACAAAGAGAGTGAGGTATTAAGGAAATCGGTTTCGAAGGAATGGTTGGTTGTGGAGGAATTGGTACTTGTGTGTCGACAACAGAATGTGTGGGTGTGAGATTTGATTCGAAACTGACTCATCAAATAGAAAATCATTGAAGAAATTTTGATTTTGAGTTGAGTTATGTGGTTCTAACTTAAAAGGAAACACATTTTCATAGAATAAGATATATATGGACACAAAAATTTTCTTTGAATGCATGTCATAGACTCTATAACCAGTATCGTCCAAAAGGATATCCCATAAATATACATGGTTTTGATCTTGGACTGAATTTGTCGAATTGTTCAAGGTTTTTACATAACAAAGGGTTCCAAAAACTCTTAAATGATTTATCTTAGGTGTTTGACCAAAAATCATTTCGTAAGGAGTTTTGTAATTTAAGAGAGGGGTAGGAACTCGTTTATCAAATATGTAGTCGTCGAATGCAATCTCCCCAAAACTCTATTGGCACATTCGATTGGAACATAAGAGATCTAGCAACATTAAGTATATGTTTGTGTTTTCTTTCTACCCTGCCATTTTGTTGTGGTGTATAAGGTATGGTGCTCTCATGAATCACTCATTGTCCTTTCAAAAATTGTTTACATTCATGATTCAAAAAATCTCTTGCTCTATCTCGTTCGATTTTCTTGATAGTTTTGTCAAATTGTGTTTTGATGAGATGGAAGAAATTCTTGATAGTAGTGTTGGCATCACTTTTGAAATTTAGCAAAAAGTCCATGTTCCTCTTAAATAATCATCAATTATTGTAAGAAAATATCTAGCTCCATTATGTGTAGGTGTTCTATAGGGTCCCCAAATGTCAAGATGCAATAATTCAAAGGTGTTCTTTATTTTGGTTGGTGATTTAAGAAAAGGTAATCCGGTTAGTTTTGCTAATGGACGAGATGGGACAATGTGTTTCTTCATGATTAGATATATTTTTCAATGCTTGGTAGAAATTTAAGTCTCATGTTGCTAGCATGCCCAAATCTTATATGCCAAATATTATTCTTTATTGATTGAGAGATTGCATTACAACTTGATTGAAAAGCATTGTTACCGATAACTCTAGAAACTGATATGACATTAGAAAATGAAAGCCGAGAATTTGTGTTTTGTTGGGGTTTGAGAACTTGTGTTGAATGGCAATGTGTGTTTGTATTGAGATAATAGAGTCCATTTTGCATTCTACCAATCCCCTTTATCAACCCGATCTTGAGGTCTTGAAATAAGCAAAAATCAAGGTAAAAAGATACAAAACATTGGTTATCTTTGGTGAATTTCGAAATGGACGAGTAAGTTAAATTTAAAATCCGGTATATGTAGCACATTCGTCGGTTTGAAATCGGGGGACAAAGATATAGTGCTTATATGTGTCACTTGAGATGATTTACCATTTGGCAATTGAACCTCTAAATGTTTTTAAGCAATGTGAGAAATTAATGCATCATCACTTAACTTGCAAGACATGTGTTCATTAGCTCCACTGTCAATCACCCAATTTCCTTTCAAAGAATCATTCATGACATTTGCACGGTAAGTAAAAATACCGCAACATTTGCTAGAGGTTGGCTTGAGGTTGATGCCTTTCCACCGTCGGATCTCGTCCCAAGCAATCGTATAATTTGATTGTATTGTTGTTGTGTGAAGACTAGTGCACTTCATACTTGTTTGACTTCCTAGATCTTCCTTGTTTGTATCCAATCTGCCATGTTACGTCGCCCCATAGCTTGACTGGTTTGCATGATAATTTCTCCCTGCATTTCCTCTACCATAAGATCTCCTTCCTCCTCTCGCCTCTCTTGGTGCACTTGGATAGCCTATCGACTTATAGCAATCTTTCTTCAAATGCCTTGTCATATGACAGGTAATCACATGTGACATTTTCTCTTCTACTCACATTTTCATTTCTTGATTGATTATTGGAGTAGAAGCTTGCTGGTGCTTCATTAACTTGCACGCTACTTGGAGATAGTCCTCCGAGATTCTTCATTGCTTACTATGGAGTAAGTTTTTGTGTGTGTAGGTAATGGCATCATCATGAGTATTTGTGATCTCACATTTGCATAGCTTTCATTTAAACCAATTAAGAACTAGAGCATTTTGAGATGCTCGTGTATGTTCTAGGTGTAACTTGGAATTAGGACAATCATAAGTTGGAAAAGTCACTAAAGTCTCAAATTCATCCCATAGTTTTTTGAGTTTTGAGTAGTATCTTTGAAACGGAGGGAGTACCTTGCATGATGTGTGAGATCTCTCTATGGATAGCAAACATTTGAGGTCCACCGACCTTGTCAAATCTTTCTTTGAGATCTTTCCATACCATTTCAGTTGATTTGTAGTAAACCATAGCATTATAAATCTCTTGTGATATCGTATTTAATGACCATGCAAATATTATAGCATTGCATCTCACCCAATGTGCATATAATGGTGAAGCCGAGTCCGGTTTCTTGCATGTGCCATCAACAAACCCATATTTATTCTTTGCTTCTAAAGAAATCTTCATAGCTCTAGACCACACTCCATAATTCTTCATGCCTTTGAGCTCCAACTCTTTCGGAACTAACACCGGATTTGGTGTGTCGAAGCATGAATGTGAAGTGGATTTGTAAAATCAATGACTCGGTGCTACATTGGGTCCGGATGCACTTGTTTGTTGTGTTTTCTTTAGTGCTCATGTTTATGGAGAAGTAAGGATGAAATGCAAGGTTTGAATAGAGGTTATTGGATTGTGATCTCGGGCTCGATACCATGTTAAAATAGAGGAATGAGATATAGCGACACGGAAAAGCACGAGAGAAGAGAAATGTATTTGCATTGATGATTCAAAATCATACTCAACAATTCTAGTAAGTTTTCTCTTTTATACAACGAGTGTATGTTCTAGAATATTTACAATAAGAAAATTAAATAACAAACTATCTAACTGCATCATTCCTTGTGTGCTCATCATTGGTTGATGCGGGTCTCGAAATGAAGGATTTTCCCGACTCCGAGACTCTTAGAACAATTGACAACTAGCACTCTTCGTGTCCGTGTGGGTCGGTCAATATAACAAACACACGGTGTGCATGGTGTGTATAACTAACTCTGCTCTCAATTCATTCTGTTACTATTCCATGCATATCACCATGCATATTTTCCACACGCACACATTGCACATGCATATTTTAATAGAATCCAAAGATCATATTTAGAGCTTGATGGAACTCTAAAATAATTTAAATTTTATATTTAATGAAGAACAAAGGGTTTATTTTTAATTATTTATTGAAAGTACATCTATTGTATGTCAAGTTAAGAAAATAATTTATTATATAAAATATTAGCGATAACATAAATAGTTCGAGTTGACATAAAAATATCAATGACCAATCTTATAAAACGAGTGGTCGATCGATGCTAAACCATAGGACGTTTAGAATTAAAAAAGAAAATAAAGAAAGCATACAAACTCATTTTTCAAACTATGTCGGTTTCGGATTTTAAAGACTTGAACAAATAAATGTAAATAATTAATTCATTATATTTATTTTAAATTTACATCCATTTGATCTAAAAATGACAAATAAATATTTATAAAAAAAAATTATGCTTAAAAATAAAAACAAGTAAGCAATATTTTTGATTGATTATTATCTTTTTATATACATAATTAATTCTTTACCTATTTATTTAAAATCAATACAATTTTAAAATTTTTAGTCATTTTCAAATACTTCATGACCACTCTTTTTTTTTTTTTTTTAATGGAAAAGTATCATTTATGGAATAGCAATAAAGCTGTATAAAATAAAATAAAAAATAGTAAACGAAATAAAATGACCACATATGGCCACTTCGTTTGCAAGTGGTAAAAAAACTAATAACTAGAAGAGTAAGAGATCTTATTAATGTTTGGCATTTACTAGGGTGCGGTAACCTTTGGGACTAGAAAAGTTCCGAGTTTTATATGGCCAAAAAGATAGAAAGAAAGCTAAAAGTCCGATATTTTCATACTATATATATTATCAACACTCCAAGTCCAGCTTTTACAATGGAGAAATCTCATATTAACCTAACAACATACCACATTTACAATGAAGAAATCTCATATGGATATTTTATGAAATATAAACAAAATATAATAAATACCAAATTTCAAAGTCATTAAAAGATATTTCATTCAATTTTCTTTGTTTCTAACTCAAAATTATGTTTACTTTTCTCAAAATTTGCCACTTACACATGAAAGCAAAATGATAGAAAAACCCAAACTAATTTTTAAGCAACCAAAAAAAGATGAAATCATATCAACCTAACAACATACCACATTTACAATGAAAAAGTCTCATATGGATATTTTATGAAATACGTTTGAAGCAAAATTCATATCATAAACAAATATAACAAATATCAAACTTCAAAGTCATTAAAAGATATTTCATTCAATTTTCTTTGCTTCTAACTCAAAATTATGTTTACTTCTCCCAAATTTACTAGAGGTGGTGATGGTTTTCAAATTGACATTTTGCAATCCTATCCATAGAATCGTTTGGAAAACCGACCAACCTTAACTCGTTAAGGGGAAAAAAAAAACTCGGACGATCAGAAGAATAAAATTAAAACTTATCATTGCTTTTCATGTCCTACTCTTTCTCTTCTCTCTAATGGTTGTCGTCACGTCTTCTAACATGCAACCAACAACTACTACCACTTTTACAACCGATCAAATGACACCCACTATTTTTCGGATACTAATTGACCCTTTTGATTAAAGGCTCATAAATTTTGTTGATTATATTCTTAATTTTGATTCTATAAATGAGTTTTTTTTTGTAAGAATCCAGAAATGCAAGTTGAAATTTTGAGAAAAGAATGAATGTGAAATACAAAATTTGTTGTTAAAGACTTAATTGTTAATAGCTCGATTCGAGTTTTGAAGCGAAAAAGAGAATTGTTGATGGGTTTGATTTAGAAGGTATAGTGAAGGCTGAATAAAGAAATAATGGAGCTTGAAAGAGGAGGGCTTTTGGGGCGTTATGTCGAGGAGGAGAAGATGGAAGCTAGAATGGAAGTAAATAAAGAGTTAGATGGTTCATGTGACATGGAAGAAGGTGAGATAAGGTATGTTGATGGAGAGAAAATGCTTGGTGGGAATGATAATGATGTGAAGTGTTTGTGGAGGAACAGAAGGATGAAGAAGAAGATGGATACAAGATTGTCAAGTAGAATGGTGTTGATGAAAATGCAGAGGATGCTAGTATGAGTTAATTTGTCATTTCACATCTTTAATTTATTGTACCATATTACTATCACGTATGAAGAAAAATGTAGATTCAATTACAAATAAAAAAAATACAGTTCTCTTATTGAAAAAATTAAAATTTGGGTACTACTCTTTATTTGACCGAAAGTTCAAAGTTATTATCAAACTAATTAGCCTATTTGTCCAGTCCATATAAACAAAGATCAAGTATGGGTAAGGTCCATTGAAAAAAAGATGAAGACAATCAGGTGGCTGGCAGCTCAAATTTCGTTAAGAAGTAAAAGAAGAAGAAAAGGAAACACAAATGTCAAGTCCAGCCCAATAAACCCACCTGTTTCTAATTCGGGAGTAAGATATACCATAGCAACTATAGTGTAGTTCAAACTAGAATTAGAGTAACTGATTTCTTGTAGCCAAACAGGTCCTTTGTTTTCTTCAATTTATTTCCTAATGGTCTCTTTAATTTTACGTGGGTCCCAATTGTTTTGTTAATCGGACGAACCGCAGAGAAAGATGGCATTAGCAATAGAAGCTCAACTCAATCTGGCTCCTCCCTTGTATGCCATATAGTCAGTCAATCTCTCCCGTCTAACTCTCCATTTCTCGATTCTCTATTTCGATTCGATCGCTACTCTGCCCTACCACCAGCCATGGGAAAAGAGGCAAGTTTTTTATTTTTTTTATTTTTTTTTTATTTTAATCTCTGTTAATTTTCGTTTGGTTTCCGAGAAAAAAAGTGGAGGAAATCGAAAAGCGTCAATTCATTTTCCTTTACGAAGAGTTGTGGAATTAGGCATTGCGTTAAAATAATTGTTGTGAAAATTAAACTTTAGTCTTTTTTTATCACGATAGTTGTTTCTCCTATTTTTTTACTAGTTTGCGGGTGATCTATGAAGATTTAGATAATTTTTTTTTAATTGAGAATTATAATACAGCGATTAATCATTTGTAAAGCAGTGATTAAGTTTTGTTTCGTTGGTTGAGAATGCTGTGATGTTTCTTTGCGTGATGGTGTTGTTTTATTGGGTAGATTGAACTGAAAACAGCCCCGGCTGATTATCGATTTCCTACAACAAATCAAACTAGACACTGTTTCACCCGCTACATTGAATTTCATAGGTATAGTTCCTTAATCTTTGACGGTTTTTTATTTATTAATTTTGTTAGCATTTAGTGGATATCTTTTCCATGTGTTTTGTAATTAAAAATGGTTGATTATTAACTGCAGGTGTGTGGCAGCTAAGGGTGACGAAGTTAATGAATGTGAACGTTTTGCAAAATATTACCGTTCCCTTTGCCCCTCTGAGTGGGTGAGTATACTTAGCCTTTTGTTTTGCTTTAATTATGATCTGCTAAGGACATAATTTTTAATTTAACTTACTTTTCTATAAAACGTTGGCAAATGCTTATCAATGGAAGCTTGCTTGTAAAAAACCAAAATTGTTCATTTTAGGATTGATTGAAGTGGCTTCTTACATAAGCGGGATGTTATCCTTATATTGGGGCATGGTCATGAATGTTATTGATCATTAATGATTCAAGAGTTGTGCTAAATGTAAACTTGTCTGACTAATGCTAGAGGATATATGGATTTGCTTCTTTCCTGATACTGATAGCAGGTTATCAGTACATCTTATTTGGTGTTTTGCCTGAAATCATCGATTTTGTATAACATTTATTGCTCGTTGTTGCTTTTGGAACACATTGATATGAGTTGTCTGGGCCTATTTACAACATCGAGCAATCAGACAAGCTTGGCTTTGTGTTAGAAACCCATTTTTACCACTTGAACCTCATGCTCTCCACACTTGTCATCCATGCTGAATGACAAGCCACCCAAATGTGCTGTTCTGTCTATAAAAGCTTGAGTTTTACAACCTGTTGGTCAATTTTCTCAAGAGTATTTAGGCTTGTTACTATCTGATTGACGTGCTGTGACTCTGAAACTCTGATAAAGATCTTTTTGCATGATGTATTTTCTTTTCTTTCCTGGCCAACACAGTAAAATATTTGGGCCTAGATTACATGTAAACCGAATATTTGTTCATTTGGTACTTTTACATCCCATTACATAGAATGTGGAAGCAAGCAGACAGTAGTGGGATATAGTTTAGGATTCGAATGAATAGTTTTTAAGACACAATATATTTTATTTACCGACCATTTCATTTAATTCTCTGATGCTATGTTCAGTACTCTTATATGTTGAATTATAACTTTTGCTATTTTAACTTTGACCCAAATTTTGTATGTCGTCTCTCCGCATGCTCAGTAGTCAGACTACTGTGAGATGGTTGTTTTAGAATATCATAAAATTGGTCAACTATATTCTTCAGCCTCTTATATGGAATCTGTTTAGTGGCATATTTTCTACAGTGCTTGAATTGGCAGCAGTTTGCATCTAGAATCAATAAACAGTTTCTGCCATTGTACTTAAATGCTGTTTCTTTCTTTTTGTGTGAATGAATTGCTGCAGGTGGAGAGGTGGAATGAGCAGAGGGAGAATGGAACCTTTCCAGGTCCTCTTTGATCTCTCATCAGCTCTTGGATGAACAGTCTTTGGCTGTGTTTGTCTGCTCATTTTCTTCTAGCTACATTTTTGGTTGTGCTTCGACTATGAATTAATAAGGCATCACTTGGAATTCCTTGTGAGTTTATTGAATTGACATGAATAATTGTGGATATTTGCTGGTTTCTATTTTTTTTTTTTTTTAATTGTACGTGAAGCGTTCTTTACTTTCAGGGGTGTGTGTCAGTGGATGTTTTTGGAATACCTTGTTGATGATTTAGAACTTAAAATTTTTCATATAATGAGGTCAATGACACTTTTGGCTTGCTTAGCAATATCTATTAATTGAAGAACGGCACTTTTGTCACCATTATAATCATGAGCACAAGTTCAGGAATCAAATTCGTTGTTGAGGTAAAAGGTAGCATCTGTAGCCGAGAGCCCGAGGCCGAATACAGACTTCTTGGGAAAGGGAAGCCCTGCTTGGGCGGAAATCCAAAAACCATGAAGTTTTAGATTCAGCTGTCGTGGGCCTCCCCTGGTTCCTCTAAGTTATGTACTTTTGATTTATGTGGATCGGATTTAATCTTAATAGATGTGGGCACATTAATTAATTTATAAGAGAGGTGGGTTTGAAAAATGGACTGCTACTTTGTGTGTGAAGTTTCGGTGCTGAATCCATGGTCAGATGTTGACATCTATTTTGGCCCCCATATCCTCCTAAAAGGCAAGCATATAAGGATTTGATATAATATGACGAAACATGGACATCATTATTATAATATTTTAGACGATAAAGTGAAGTAATTTGATTATCAGCTCTCCTTTTGATTGAAGAGTTTACGAACGAAAACAAAAGCTAGCGTGCATATTGGTAGATCAATAAGAACAACCACCACCAACCACCTTTACTTGGCTTGTTTCCATGCCCATTTTTGTTATCTTCGAGGTGATGGAAAATAATTTTTTTTGAAACAGTGCCAGTAATTTATACATATCAATTCTTATAAACGTTAATTTACCGCAAAGCTTCTCGGGAACTATCCTCAGTAATATAATAGCTTCGCTTTTACTACCAAACAGCTGGAGACATATGGTGATATTCAAAGCATATTCAGAAAAACAGAACCTTATTCTTCTTAACCGGGTGCTCTCACTCACAGACTGATCAAAGCTTCTAATCTCATGTCAAGCAGGGTAATCTAATTTGGGTTTAAACATTACGAAATTACTGGGACAGTACAGGCATATAAATTCTATTTGAATACTTATTGTCCATTGCAGATATGATTTGTAATATTCTACACCAGCCAGATTGTCATTTGCAGGTACAAAGTATGGGACAGAAGAGTGCATATATATATAGTATATACGCCACAAAATTGCCTGGTGACAAAATATCAAAGAAGGGCAAATGAAAAAGCTTCTTTCCTATAAAATGAAAATCTCACATGGGTATCATATAGCACTGTCTCACTGATAATGCCCTTCTCAAAGTGCAGGGCGTAGGAATGTATATTTCCAATTTCCAAATGAGAAAAGAATAGAACGTGATTCTCGAAGTGCTTTGTCTCTGGGAGGAGATGATATGGATTGTGACAATAAATAAGGACAGCACGAAAAGCAGTCATGGAATTGTCAAATTATTGCATTGTCTTGTCAACTAGCAACCTGCGTTAAATAGTGGGTGATTAATATAGTGATCTTTCAGTCTAGGAGAAAGAAAACAGGATTCTAATTGGTTACCATATAACAAAAATAAATTAAAAGGAAAAAAAAGAAAAGAAAAAGAGAAGCAAAAGCCCTAACTGGCTAATTTATAAGCAAACATTTTGAAGTAACGAAGTTAAATTCTTTTCTTTTTTCTAATATTTCTACATCAATTGAGCTAATAAATAAGTGGATGATGCAGGGCAATTTTGAATCAACAACTAACACAAAAGAGGCCATAAAGCAGCTCTTGGTCCCAAAATGTCATTTGGTTCTAAAAAGGCATGCTCACATTGAGATCCCCACACTCAATAAACCATAAACCATATAGCATGTCAAGTTCCCAATACTTCTAGTTTGTGCTTCTCTTTTTGAGGGGAAAAAAAACTACTCTGTTATAGTGTAATTATGTGATTTTACTGTATTAAACAAGTAATATATGCTGTTTAAGACAAACAAATAAATGTGGTAAAATTAATTATACACTTGAAGACTAGGACCATCATATGTAAAACCTTAACAAAAACGCGGCAATGTAAGTTTCTAGGCAATTTCCGTCTGTACGTTTTTGGAAAATATTAGCAGTACTAACTACATAGGTTGAGTGATGCATGTGAAACTTGAGACATTCGCATTTTCTTTTTCTTCCGAAAAGCACAATCTACGCCTCCACATGTTCTTATCACTCTTATTTCTTAACCCTAATAATTATTTCTTTGGACATCTTAAGAGCGTATAGGCCAGAGCAGGTGAGTGCTTTGTGTGAAAAGGCCAAATTGCTAAACCACCTGGCAACCTCGTGACGTGGGATAGTTGTACGATGGTTTCATGGATTAGATGGACCGACAGAAATCTCCTTCTTCTTCTTCTTCTTTTTTTTTTAAAGAAAAAAAAAAACAGTTTAGAAGGGAAACATATACTATTTTAATTAATAGGTTATAATTTTTAATTTAGGTATCTGATTGCCACAAATAATATCTATTCGATTCGAAAAGTTTAGTCAGCGGCTCAGAATTTGGTGGATCATTAAAGGTCTTATGAGATCGTTCTTGAAGTTGAAATCCATTCTTAAAACTCATTTTTGAAACCTCTTGTGATTTAGACTTGCAAAATTGGCTCAAATTGCTTCATTTTTTACGACAATTATCATATCCTTCAGAAAATATTTAGAACTGTGAGTTTTTCATGATTTGATGTTTTTTTTTTTAATATTAGATATATAACTACTCTCCATGAACAAGATACTTACAATCACACAGGATAATGCGTTATTTTGTTCTGGAAAAAAAAAAAAACATGTTACTTGCGTGAGAACTCCACTTCACACGTTAAAGACAGAAGTTATGGAAAGCATGACTTATGAAAGGAGAAACCAGAAATTCAACATGATGACAAAATGGTCCTAAATAAGAGGCATCCTGTATTTCCTGTCTACGTCAATACATCCCTCGAAAGAGATCGAACATTTTCCCCAATTTCTTTTTCTTTTCTTTTTCTTTTTTTTTCCTGTTTTGAAATCACACGTAAGCGGTGGGGTCTTGACATTTATGACTTTCATAGTTTTTTTAACTCCTTGGTTTGGAGAAAGATACTTGGACAATTTGACCTCTCTAGCTCTCAGAAAGTTTTCGTATTTTACAAATCAACTAACTGTGCTGGTTGAATTACGTGATCTAGGTAATTACATCTCTTATTTTTCATTTAAATCCATATTAATATGGTTTATGTAATTTTTAATTGTGTCATTTAGATTTTTCCGATTTATGCTCTTTATTTTTACCAGTTTTAGGTATTATCAAATTAGTTTTTATGCATTGAGATAATTTTTTTTTTAATCTGATGAAATTTTTGATTATGAATTGAATTTTGCGGAAATCTATATTTTGTTTTTTAATTTGAGGCATTATCAGATTAGTGATTAGAAGACGCGTGTACGGCACGCTGGTTACCACCAAATCCACGTCGTAACCGCGTTTATAAGCTGCAAAGGCTGACACGTGGTGCGGTGCACATTGATAGGATAAGCCATGACAGCAGTAGAAGACTGCTTCGTTACGAACACTCGAAGGAAGACAAATTACTTACTGGCCGGAATGGATAGCCAAACGGCTATCTCTCTCCCTTTTTAAACTTTTTTATTTTATTAATTGTTTTAAAAGAAAGACTTTATAAATTTTTGTTTTTGGTTTTTGTGTTTTTCATGAATAGGGCGGCTTTATCATTCCTCTTCGTAATTTATAAAATATGTGATAAGATCATAATTAATAATTATTTTTTTATTTTGTTACATTGGTTGATAGATAAATATATTTTGTTTTAGGAGTTTTTATATTCATATTTTCGTTATGGTTACTAACTATTTAATTTAAATGAAAAAATTTTAAACTGTATAGTATCATTCTAAAAAAATTGTTAATGCAATTAAACTAATTCGTGATATGGTTATTTTTTTGATAGATTATAATGCATCTGTTTATTTTTATTTTTTTCATATAAAGCTTTTTTATTTTTTATATAATATTTATTTATAAAATAATTTAAAAGTAACACATATTAGTGATAATTGTTTACCAATTAATACAAAATCATAAGTGATTTAACAAAGGATCACATTAAATTATCAAAGGTACGCATAAGGAAAAAATGTAAATTCAGAATCCTTTTCAAAATGAAAATAAAACACCAACCATAAGTATAAATTTAAAAAAGAAAACGAAACATTAAAAAGTTTTTGAAAACATATACTAATTCTAATAATATTAGAAAAGGCTTAATTAAACAATCACATCCACAGTTTCATACACGTTGACCGAGACTATTTCTATCCGTTGAGGATTGTGACAAAAAAAAAATCCTACTCCTTTCAACCACGTGTGAGTCTGTGACTCAACAAACTCACAGACGCGAAACGAAACTAAATACGCGTCCTTTAGCGCGTGTAGTTGTAACCGCCTTACTAAAAGAACCTTCCTTGCAACCTCCTTGCATTACCAATTATAACTCCCTCCCCGTCTTCACTACTCCATATAAATCACCTTCTGCTCTCTCCCTCCTAGAGCCCAACACCCTTTTCCTTCTCTCTGATTTCACCTCACTATCTCTGCATCCAAACAACAACAATGTTTCGTTTAAGCAACAACTTGGTAGGAATCCTAAACTTCATAACCTTCCTGCTCTCAATCCCCATCCTATGGGCAGGGATCTGGTTAAGAAACAAAGGAGTATCCGAATGTGAAAAGTTTTTCGACACCCCAGTTATAATCCTTGGTGTCTTTCTCTTGGCAGTCTCACTCGCCGGTCTAATTGGCGCGTGTTGTCGCGTGTCATGGTTACTCTGGGTTTACCTCTTAGTCATGTTTCTCCTCATTGTTGTGCTCTTCTGCTTCACGATTTTCGCTTTTGTCGTGACCAACAAAGGTGCTGGTGAAGTTTTGTCTGGTAAAGGGTACAAGGAGTATAAGCTGGGAGACTATTCGAATTGGCTGCAAAAGAGAGTGACGAGCGAGAAGAACTGGAGGAAGATTAAGAGTTGTTTGATTGATGCTAAAGTTTGTAATGATTTTCAACAGAGATACATGAATGATACTGTTCAAGAATTATATACTCGTCATCTGTCTGCTCTTCAGGTAAATTTTGTTAACTTTTCTATTTGTTGCTTTTTTTTTTTTTGGGATTTTTATTTTCCTTTTTTTTGAGATCTACCTTTAGTGTTGTTTAAAGGAAATAAGTTTTTTAACTATCTTCCTTTTGTAAAATTTTTTTGTGCGTCTATTATGACCTTTTCCTCCCCTATTGGAGAAACGACATGCCACTCGTGAGTCCTGATGAATTACTGGTCGTCGGTAGATGTCTGTATAATTTTCTGTGTGTAATTGGTATTAAGAGTGTTGTGATTAATAATTTTGATTAAGATATGGGGTTTTGGCCTGAAACATTATCCTTAAGCATGTGTTATGATTTTTAATGTCTGATTTTTGTCATAAGGATAAAAAAAGGTTTACTGTGTTATAGGAAAGGAACTGTTTTAATGTTTTTCTACGATTATTCTCAATTATTGTAGCTTTAGAAAGAAAAAGCAAGAGCCCTTTTAGGTGTATGAATGAAGAATATGATTCGCTTTTCTGAATTAGTTGATTCTTGTCATCATATGTTGTTTTAGCTGTGTGGGACTCGAGCATAACTTTAGGATGAAAAAAATGCATCTGGACTCTTTTCTTTTCATCTTTACATATTCTTGAGCTTTTGTTGGGATCTTGTGTGTTGATTTATGAAATATAATACCCCTTTTGCTTAACTTTACGTATGCTTTTGCTTGATTTTTAAGTTTGGGGGAAATAGCCTCTTTTAATTCCGCAATTACCATTGGTTAATTACCTTGGATCACAACTTTTTTATCATCTACTAATTGTTTTCGTATGGCCGTGTTGGCACTGGGGTCTCTACTGCTTGATGGCTTTTCACGACCGTATGAACCGAGTCGTTGCTGGTTTGTGTTTGTGCACGTATGCGTGCGCCAATTTTAACTTTAAATGAAGACCTTTCAATGTAAACGCAGAAGTTCAGTTTTGTGGTCTTGGTAATTGTTGTAGATGCCATATATGTAGCAATAGTAGAACAATATGAACTTTTTCATTACCCTGGGACAAGATTTTGCCAAATGGGTTATTATCACCCCTAAATAATTCATTTAGTTGATATTTTGATCTTTCTATGGTTCTTGAATTGTTTCTATGAAATATTGGTAACAAGCTCTTCTTCAAACCTCGAGGATTTTATTTATATAATAGCTTTTGTGTATTTAGATGTTGGGGTAGACTTCCTTGTTGTGAAGTGTTGATACACTGGGTTCTGATGTCGTTTCTTTATTGTTCTTGCAGGCTGGCTGCTGTAAGCCATCAGATGACTGTGGATTTACGTATCGAGGCCCGAGTAATTGGGAGAAGACACCTACAAATGCCACCGCAAATCCTGATTGTAATGCATGGGATAATCAAGCAAATGTGCTCTGCTTTAACTGCAACTCTTGCAAGGCTGGGCTGTTAGACAACCTCAGGAGTGACTGGAAGAAGGTGGCTGTCATCAACATTATATTCCTTGTGTTCCTGATCATTGTGTACTCTGTTGGATGCTGTGCATTCAGGAACAACAGAAGGGACAACAATGCTTATTTTCCTGGATGGAAGCACACTTAACTTGGGGAATTCTTGCAGCTAGCATGGATGCAGATATTAACGCTTAGGATTAGTTGTATGCAGCTTACTTATTCGCTGCTCACTCTGTTGTTTATATATTCTCTTCCCCGCAGCTGGTTTCTTGTATAGCATTCGTATGCTTTTGTTTTTAGTGTCCTTGGAACATACTACTATATGATGCTATGGAGTTCATATTTTCTAAATCTGCGACCTTTATATCGTTCTTCTCTGATTGGCTTAATTCATCAGTTGCCAGACAATTCATATTAATTTAATGCGCACGTTGTTTCTTAGGGGAAAATGACTTTCTGACAGCATTGTCTGATAAAGAAAATAAGGTCAGAATGCCGCCAGATTACTCCAGCAGAAGACCGATTTCGTGAGATTTGGGCAATGAAGTTAATGCTGGGGTGGCTAATTGATTGACAAAGCCTAATGGTTGTTGTCTATGCGTATTGGTTGATGTTCATGAAGATTCTTACAACTCTTGAAAACTTAGAATCAGTTTTCTAATTGAGGACGAGGATCAAGTGGGTTTTTTTTTTCCCTCGAATCATCAAATATATCCCAAGCCTAAAAGGCATGGATTTGCTGTAATACTTTGCAGGTGAGGAAATGCACCATTTACTGCAGGAGGGGTCCCATTTCTTATTCCAGATTTTTTTTAATGTTGGGAGCGATGTGAAAACACTATACAAAAAAGCTAGATTCTCAAGGTAAATTCGAAGTGTAAAGTAGTGGTTGTGCGAATGAGAAGATAAGAAGGGAGGCTATCTTGACTTTTCTCAGAAGTCTGTTTATGTGAATTCTGAATAGCTATCATAGCAGCAGCTAAAGAAATGGTACATGGTAAAACATTAGCCCTGTCTTGTCTCAACCATAAAGTTTAGTCAAGATCATATCATATACAAAACAGGCAGTGATTTATGCATTTTGAAACATCTTTATTTAAAAAACAATTTTTTTTTTTTGAATTATTCACCTTCCACTGTATTATTCACGTATTTACAATTTACATAGACTTTATAGTGTGACATTTTCTTGATTTTTTAAGTTGTATTAAGAAATTTATATTAGAGCTTTTTCTGATATTGCATTTTAGTCTTCAATATTTTTAAAATTTATGTTTTGGTCTTTAAATTTATTTATGTGACAATTTGATTCTTAAATGCAGAGAAAGGAAAGAGAAAGCCAAGCCATAATTAGTTCTAATTTCAATTTCTTTTGTGGCCGATCTTGCTTCATATTGTTTATTTTGATGAAAAAAATGTGTTCATGGTAGTTTTAAACCATAAATCGAAACATATATATATTGAAATGCTTTTTAAGCTTTTTTTTTTACCATTTTTTTTATTGAGTTGGGTGTAAAAATTATGAAAAAATAAATTATTATTTTTTTATTTTTCTACACAGCTTGATAGTAATGAAATATACATGATATGTTTTTAAAATTTAAAATGAACATATAGGTCGGATTATATTACTCTTATTTTTTAAAATTGATTTTTTTTTATTTTTTGGTTCTTAGAGAAATTCACATAAAATTATTTATTTATTTATTTTTATATAATTTTTTTGTTAACAAATATGATTTATTTTTTTCTATTTATGGGTTTTTAATAAAATTTTAGAATATAATTATTTTATCTTTTTTTAATGAACATATATATTGGATTATATTACTTTTATCATTTAAGATTGATTTTTTACTTATCGTTTCTTATAGAAATTCTCATGGAATTAGTTTTATATTTTTTTATATAATTTTATTTCTTAATAAATATGATTTTTTTCTATGTATGGATTTTTGAATATCATTATTTAATCTTTTTTTTATATTATTATAATTCATATGATGAATTCTTATGATTTTTAAATGAAAGTGTTCAAAAGCTAAAAGTATATTTTAGATAATTTATCTCAAATCTTCTATAAAAATCAATTAAAAAAATTGAATTCATGTGTTTTATTTGCTTCTTCTTTATATAATTAAAATTTATCAAAATTATATATATATAGTATATTTTTTAATTTCAATATATTAATTTAATATTTTTATTTATTTATTTATGTTGCACGCTCCGAAGCCACTCGAGTATGATCAATCATATATATATATATAAACTAAGATAATTGGTTTTATTAGAAATTAATTATACATTTATACACATAACACTAACCATTTGCTATTATTTTTTTAACATTCTAAATCAATTTCTTTGAAATAAAATAATTGAAAAAATATTTTAAGAGAACTATTAGATGATTGAAATATGGCTTTTTATACAAATATTATTGATTATTTTATGAATAAATATATATAAATCAAATATACATATTTTTTAAAAAATAATCTTCGTCTCGTTAGAATTAAATAAGATTTTTTATATAAGTTTTTATATTAATTATTGTTTAGTTTTTTGATGTAATCTTATGAAAAAAATATTAAGGCATTTTTGTTTAAATTTTGGATTAAATATTCTATTTAGATTATTACAAGTTTTATTTAAAAATCAATGCATAAAAATTAACAAATCATGTTTATTAATTACAAAATTTATGAAAAACATAAGAAAGAATAAATTATAGAATTAGATGTTTTGTTTTTATCTTTAATTCAATATATTTTAATAGATCTGCAATATAATACATATTATTAAATTAAAATTATTTTTTAAATAATTTTATATATTTTACTTAGCTTGTTGCATAGCACGGACAACCAACTAGCCTAACCTAAAGGTCTACCTAAATGACAAAACGTAAGAAATACATGAATTTTTTTTAATTTCTTCGTAGAGAGTCTACTTTGTCTCGTACCGGAAAGTTGTGCTAAATTTGAGTATGTCATGGCTGATCTCAAAACATATTTAATTATTTATCATTAAAACTGAAAAAAAAAAAAGGAAAGAGAAAGAGAGAAAAGAAACATCCTTATCTTTGTGTTCCTCTGCATCCCTGTTACTTACCAGGTTTTAATAATTCAAGCTTATGTTTATATACTCAAAGCATGAGTTGACCGTATATTTTGGTGTCAAATTTTATCTAGGGGTGATTATTAATATTATTGTCCCCTGATGACTCATCTCACAAGTTTGAGATCCACTTTCTCGGATAGGGTCCCATTCTTCAATCATGCACTTGTGAGCTGATTTCTAATTCAATTGTACACGTTGAAGTTTATGCTCCAAATGATGCAAAGCAATTTGATATGTGCTATGTGGCTCGAGCCTTGATTGATAAATATGGCCAGGGCCTTGACTGAGACAGAGGCATGTGAAGTCAATATATGGCTGAATCATGTTTATTTTTCAGGCTGAAGTCGTGAATGTTGCCGAAGAGTAAAATCACCTCAAACTTTTTTTTTTTTTTTTCCAATATAAAATAGTTAACATGTACATGTGAACCCAACACAAATCATGTGTAAAATCTGCTTCTGGCAAATCAACATGGTGGCAAGCAAAATTGTAGCTTTCTAGATTGAATAAAAAAGTTATCAATTGTCATTCTATCTCCTATACTTTCTTTCACGCAAATATATATCTTGAGTTGGTCTTTTATATCAATATCATTTTTTAACTACTTTACTACCCATGTCGACGTGAAAGTAGAACTCCTTTAATCATGAGTGGAATTTTAATCAAATTGGAAATGCACAAGAAGATTATATATTGCAGATTTGCCTCGATGAAATGGTATGATCCTTGTCATTAACAATTTTCTGCTTAGCTATCTTCACTCGCAATTTTTATACTTTCTCACACTTGACTACATGTATCATAATCTGGATCCAAAACTCGCGAAGTAAGACCTCAACAATTAGGAGATTTTTTATTTATTTGAAATTTGAAGTCAATTAACATGAACTCTGAATAGTTAAAAAACGAACTATCTATAATACATTAGGGGAATTAATTCCTTGTTCTATGTAGAACTATTATGGGAACATCACAATTTCACAAAGTAACCACAGAAGAGCAGTTCTGAAGATGGAATCTGTGTGAAGCATGGCAATAGGATTTTTCAACATGAAATCTGTATTTCTTACAGAGAAAGGGACATGACATTTGTGGTCATTCAGATTAATCAAACTTTGTCGACATTAGTGAATTTGTCAAGTAGAAGTGGCTCTTCCAGATTTATTTTACTGATGTTCTGTCCTGAAGATTCGTCTATAGAACCTTGCTGAATACTTGTATTGTTGACTTGTGGCTTAAAATTTGTCCCCTGTCTGATCTCCGTTTGGTCTTCAGCTTTACCCCACAGCACCATATACAAACCAGCAACCACAGCAATAGCAGCTAACAACCTGAAGTGAGACAAATGTATTAGATGACAAATATTAGGTGCACTAATTGGCCATTCATACTTGTTTCTGTTGATAAAATAGAATTCTTCATAAAGAATATAAATTTTAATGAAGACATTCCGAGGTGTTATGTACCTTGCCGCGTTAACCGTCTCATGAAGAAAGATAGCAGCAAAGATGGTCACAATAACAGTGGTTAGAGGGCTGAACATTGCTGAGAAGAGTGGACCTCTTCGTGAAATGCACCAGACTTGAAGAATAATGATGCTTGCAGAAGCAACTCCCTGGTCAACATAGGTTTATATATATCAGAGCAATTTAGGTAGATAGATAGATCATGTAAGGCTACGCTTACGATTCAATTTCAATTAACAAAAAGACAAAGAGTACAGAGAGAGAGCATGACTACATACTACGTAGAGTAAACAAGCATACTCAAGACTTGAATGTGGTTTCCATGCTTGTGGATCTGGTTTTATGAAGATGGTAACTGCTATTGTTTGTAGGGATCCAAAGAAACACATCCAAGCAGTAGAAAGTAAGGGATCAGGACATCTTGCTGATATTGGGACCTGTTCAGAATTTCAGCGAGAGGACTTGAATTTGAGATTTCAGTAATTGACATGCCAGAGCCAGACATATGAAGATAACACATGGGGGAGAAGTACCTGCATGATAGTCCACATTGCCCAGCAACAACTGTTTCCAAAAAGGATTAGCGAACCCAGCAACCAAGTCTCACCTTTAGAGCCACCCGAAGATTTTATTTGTACGATTCCCTCGTTAAGTAGTTTTGGCCTCTTGAGCAATGCTATGGAGACGGCTCCACTAACACAGATAACTGTCCCTATTATCTTCGCGTTACTTCTCAAGCTGCGGATATTAACTTTCTCCATTCTGATAATTTAGAGACATGAAGACTTTCAATATTTCATTAGAGAGTTAGTTGAATGCGCAATTTTGTTGGGTCAAGAAAATTTATCATTTCTGTTTAGGTTGGCCTCTGCCTACCATATTTTTATGCATTTGATTCAAACACTGAAATAAATGTATCCATGCTTTAGGTATGAGTAGAATGATTGATTGTATTAATCATGGAGCTCTGTTCCGGTTATTACTAAAAATGGATTGTTTTGTCTGTATGACTTTATAAATGAATAAATTTAAATCAAAAGAACAAAGAGTTTTCTGCGTATACCCTATGGCTGCTGTGAATAAAAATGTGAGTCCAGGAACTAAGTTATCCATTGTGCTTGACATTGTTGAAGAAGATAAGGATACGCCTTCAAAAAGGGCAATTGAAGTCATTGCTGGGCTGCAAATGAGAAAGATCAGATCATGTTTTCAGTGAATCCCACAACCTCTTCACACAGAAAACTAAATTCAAAGAGAAATCTACCCAAGCAAAGCAGCTATGTATAACAACACGAATTCCTTTAGTCCCAAAGAAATCGCAAAGGACGCTCTCCTGCCAACAAAAGCAAGAAGTATGAGAAACAACTTGTAAAATATCACATCTTTTTCCAACAACAGGAGAGAGACTGACAGAAATAAGATATTTGTTAATTACCTTCTTGAGAGATAAGCCATAGGTGTTAGGACCAAGCAAGCAATGACCTGCCTGTAGACTGAAAGGATTTCAGGACTTAATCCTTGCGAAAATGCTGCTTCAGAAAAAAGTGCTACTCCTGCAGCAAGAACCTGTGAGCCTACCATAGCCATCACAGGCATGTAACTATCTGTGGCCTCCATGCTAAATTTCTTAAAATTTCAATGTGACAATTAATCTCTGTAACAGCAATAATATGACAATATACATTAGCATTCTCATTTAGGAACACATTATTGGTATTTATATATGATGATGTGAGGTAGCTAGTTTAGATACGCGTCAAAGCAACTCTCAATAAAGGTTTCAAATGAAATCAACAAAAGAAACAAATATATGGCAAGATCATTAACACAGGCGCAAAGACAGTGGTTTCAGAAGATCTGAAAGTAATCTGCTGAGATTTGACAAGGAGATCCTAGAGCACAAAAAGAAATCCAAAATAAAATAAAAATGAATCCAACCAAGATTATGTTAGACTATAATATAAGTCATATCCTAAACCTTATCCAACAACTTAAGTTTTTGGATTGAGATGATCCTTTGATATGATAGCAGAGTTTTAATGATCAAACGTTCACGAGTTTGAATTTTACTATGTCTATTTCTCTTCTAATTAATTATATATAAAATAGTGTAGATTTGTGTAAGTTTCAAATTCAAATAGATTTCATTTAAAGAAGCGTATTAAAGAATAATATAAATCATATTTAGAAATCTCATCTAATAATTTAAACTTTTGGATTAAGATAGTACTTTACCTTACTATTGAAATCCAAATATAACTAGCTACACCAATAGGATTTTTCACTTCAGGGCTTGATCAAATTTCCAGCTTTTGATTGATATCTTCTCTACATCTACAGAATCTTTGACTTTTTGATACCAATCCCAATTCAGTGAAGAACAATTGATGATTATATGCTGATTCAATACCATTTTAGGAATTTAAGATTACTTCCTTGAGAAATAAGCCAGAGTTTTTATGACTAAGTAGAAAACTAGTCCACAGACTGAAAGGATTCCAACACTTGGTTTTGGAATTTAAGATTTCCACGTTCAGAAATGAGCCAGCGGTTTTATGACTAAAGTACAAATGACCAGCCTATACACAGAAAGGATTCCAACACTTGGTCCTCGAGAAAATGCTAAAAAAAAAAAAAAAAAAAAAAAGAGCTGCTGCAGCATTAGCAACCTTTCAGTGTATACTATTAAGGCAAATCACTTGCAGGCTTGTAATCTATCACCTCTATGCTAAATTTCTTGAAAACTCAATGGGATAGACTTGTGATGTCGAACGACATAAAACATCACCAAAATAAAGCAAATTTAAAACAAATCAAAATCATCAACAAGAAAAACATACTAGATCTCGTAAAATATTCCAAGTCTTTATTTCAATAAAACAATAATACGTAGTCTGTCTAAAGTGCTTATTTTTATGTACTCAATAAAACAAGTCTCAACAAAAATAGAAAATATAATATAACTAAAATATTAAAATTAAACTCTATATTTTAAAAAGAATAATATTCCTATAAGAATTTTATTTTATTATTATTATTATTATTTTACTTTGATCCGCATCAACTTGTACATAAAAAAGCATTGTCTTATATATCTATAAGATATTTCTAATGTGCAGATATTCCTTTGTTTTATGTGAAATGACTAGGCATTGTGATCCACATCAAATTATCTCCGTATTGTTTTACGTGGAAATGACTAGCTTTGCGATGATCCATGTCTCATTGTCTCAGTAATCTTAGAGAGAGAGAGAGAGAGGAAACGGGATTAGGAAGTTATCTGAGCCTCCTCCACAACAGGGTTTATATACGTTAATGAATACCACTTCAATTCAAAACTCTAAATTGTTATTTTATGGATCATCTTGATTTATAAGTATCTCAAACTTGTCATTTCTAACAACGTCCATCTTATATATGGAGCTATGGAACTCAACAAATCTCCCCTCCAATGTAAGCTCAACCAATCACGCTTCACTTTGATCCGCTCGTAGGCCTGTAAAAGCATAGACTGTTAGGTTATGAATCAATTGTTATATATAAATACTTCAAACATTTTATTTCTAATTAAAATTAGAATTTCACTCACCTTCTTTATTCTGAGGCATGCATGTTGTTCTATGTATGTCTGATGTGCATTTGCCACAGTTTTTACTTCAATTTGTTTATTGATCTTTTAATTGAACTTAATCAAGGCAAGCTCAACCTTTACATTTTTGTCTATTGCCACTTCATTCAAAACTCAGTAACTCACTTTGGCGCATTATGCAGGCAGAAAGGTGTAAAAGATTAAAAATAAAACACGAACTTTCAAATTTTGAACTTTTTTTCAACCAGTCAATAATCTCTTTGAACGTTCTCAGAAAACGGGAAGTTATTCTTTTAGACCATAGATCTTTAGCCCTTTCAATCTTGTCAATAAGCTTTCAGTTTATTTATCTATTTTGGAACAAATGGATACATGAGGTCAATATTGATCCATTGTTTTCAGTGCTTGTTTTAACTTTCCACTGTTTCAGTTTTAGTATGACGGATTGATACAGCTTATGTCAACTCAGTTGACTGAAGTTGAAGTGACATTTGGAAAGTTGAAGGTTCAAAATTCATGTAGTTACGTGAAAAAAGTTAGGGATATATAACAACTATAAATTCGTACTAAACTGCATTTCAGTTATGCTGGTAAATTTTTTTATTACACCTTAGTGTAGCATTTTGTCTAATTTCTGATGACACTTCAAAATATCAAAATTGACAGACTTTTTGTCGCCCCCTTGAAGGTGACTAATGACCTTATACTCTTCTCGAACATACAGAATTATCATTTTCTTTAGACATTAAGAAATCCTCTTACTTTCATTAGCATCACTTTTTTCCTTTTCCTGAGAATTTCATTAACATCACTTGATTTGTGAAGAAAGAAATGGTTCTTCCAAATCAGCTTTGCAATTCTTCTTAGCTGGAGACTCGTCTAAGAAGGCTTGAACAGGTGACTGATCTTCTTGCAGCTTTGGATGGATCATATTTTTTATCTCGTCAAGGTCTTTGGCTTTACCCCACAGCACAGCATACAGACCAATTATCACAGCTAAAGCACCGATCAAACTTAAGTGAACAAAAGAGCAAACATTTTAGTTTCTAGCACCTACAACAAATTAAGCTGTTGCTTAACTTGCAAGATTGCTTTTTTGGTAAAAGAATGTGACATCCAGGTTTCATGTCGTAGAAGTTAAACACATCTTGAAATTATTAGGTGAAGAAGATACCTTCCAGCGTATGTCTCCTCATGTAGAACTATAGCAGAAAAGATGCCGACAATAACGGTGCATAGAGGATTGAACATTGCCGAGAAGAGGGGACCTCTGTGAGAAATTACCCAGGCTTGAACAAAGAATGACACAGCCAGTCCAGTTCCCTTTTAAGAGGAAAAAAAGAAAAAAAGTCAAGTTCAAGATTAGAAGCAACAACAATCTGAAAACAATCAAACAAAAAAGAAAAATGCTTACCCCATATAAACTGGAAGCAATTTCAAGATGTGTATTCAGCTTCCAAGCAGCAAGATCTTTTTCAGCGAATAATGCAATCGCTGATGATTGCAATGATGCGAGGAAACACATCCATGCAGATGAATATAAGTGGTCAGGACAAGTTGCCGAAATAGGGACCTGCAGAGAAATTGGAGCAAAAAATTAGTTATCAGAATATCCTTTGATCAGATAGTAATTGAAAGGGAAGGTGTAAACCTGCAAGATCATCCATAATGACCAGAAACAACTGCTTCCAAAGAGAAATAAACACCCCAATAACCAATTGTCGCCTCCGGGGCTGAAAAAGGATTTTGGTGGTAAAAATTCTGAATTTAACAGCTTAGGGCCTTTGAGTATTGCCATGGCAATGGCTCCACTTACGCAGATTACTGTCCCAAGAATCTTGGCAATACTTCTCAAGCTTCGGATATACACTTTCTCCAATCTGATCAATTAGTTTCTAATTTGAAGTTAGGGACACGTAGAAAAATAGGCTGCCTCTGGAAAAGAGCAGAACTAGTGATTTCTTAGTACGTAGCAAAGACACTATGGCCTTAAACATGTTCAAATATTTTATCAGGTTCAAGCTAGTAATAGGAACTGGTCAACATATATATTGATTTTCTATATAGTTTCCAATACAGTAAGAGGAGGAAATCAGCGGGGGTACAGCCTGGAGCTTAATCCCACGTCGGTCGGAAGAGAAACATTGTCCTTAGCTGGGATTATAAAACGCAGCTCAAGATTCTAACCAAAGCATAACTTTATCGGCCTTTTGGCTAAGATCAAGTATAGTATCTGTTCTTATCAGTTTAATATATGATACGTGGGTCATAGGTCCATGCTGTATTAAATTAATTTATTAAAGGGTAGAGCCCACCACAGTAGCTTGCTACTGGAGATCTCTAGCGTCGTCCAAATCTTTAACCTTCATATATAGATTTGCTGTGTAATAGCATGAAACTATACTCACCCAAAGATTGCTGCCATTGCAAAAGTGATTGCAGGCATGAGATTAGTCATTGCACTTGCTGCAGTTGAAGAGGCTAGGAAGAGGCCTTCAAAGTAAGCCATTTGATTGGCAGTGACTCTCCAAGTATCGAGAAAGAGGAAGAGGCCTCAAGTTAGTTATTTTTCTATCATGCTAAAAAGTAAGGTAATAAAAATCTAGGAGCACATACCCCAGAAGGGAGGCAGCAAATATCCAAGCAAAACTCCGTAATCCCAAAGAAAAACCACATGAACTTCTCCTGCCAATTAACAAATGTAAATTTAAGAAAATAATTTGTAAGTACGGGAAATTATGGGTGCGTTAAGAGAGTGTGATTAATTACGTACCTCCTTGAAACATAAGCTAGAGGAGCCATGATCAGAGTTGCTATGCCTTGCCTGTAGACTACAAACACCTTGGGACTCAGTCCTTGCACAAGAGCAGCTCTAGTGAAGAGTGCAACCCCAGCATAAATGAATTGCAAACCAACCATTGCCATCGCAGGCTTGTAAGCATCAAACGCACCCATTATTTTAGCCTGGGAAAGTATTAAGGGCAATAGGTCTGCAATGGCAAGAACGGGACACCTCCAATATGTGCTCATCCAGTAGCTACAGAGCATACATATAGAAAACGATTAGAGAGCAGGCAAGTGATAATGTGACAGGGACTTTCAGATCTGGCGATAAGGTTTTAGACTGTTTTGTCTACCACAGACAGAACACAACTAACATAAAACTGAATAAATAAAGGTATAAGAGGCAGCCTTGCCAGAAGAAATTAAATAATTTTTTTTATGTGACGCGGCGAGATTGGAATCATATGAATTATGATCTGCCTAGTACTATTACTGGTTGATAAAGGTGAATGAACCAGGCTGTTCATGTCTTCTTTATTCGATAAAAAACGTGTTAGCAGTTCTGTTAGCATGCATTGGATTGGCGTTGACAATTATTTGAGTTTTGAAGCTTGGAGCTATTCTCTTAAAGGATATGGTGATTATTTAAGGGTTATTAGGTAGAATTTGCCATTCCCCTTTTGTTTATGTTTAGATTTTTTAGAAACAAAACTGAAAATCCTTTCGTTTTAATATTTTCTTTTTTTTTTTATTAAAAAAGAAAAGAAAAGAAAAGCAAAACCTACTACTTAGCAGAATTCTGAAAAACCACGTTGTTTTAATTTTTTTAAAAATTGAGATTCGTTTGTTGGGTTTTTTACTTAAAAAAAAAAACAATTAAAAACAAACAAGTTTCCTATTTCCTATTTTTAAATTTAATTTTTAAAAATAGAAAAAATAAAATAAAATAAAAATGATATCAAACAGCCTGTTATGTTTTTTATTTTTATTTTTTAATTTTTAAGTGGATAATATATAACGTGCTTTGGTCCTCTCTCAATACTTGTTTCTGTCATTGCTTGGCTTGGCATTTCTAATTGGGATGCGACATTTTTCATACGACACAGCTTGCTAGTCTCTTAACGAGATCAAAAGTCCAACTTAATATATATATATATATATAGAAAAAAAGAAGAAGATAATCTAGTCTTTCCATGAGTTTTACTTAATCTCCTTTTTTTATTAGATTCATTTAAAACTCACTAGGTATTTTTTATTCAGAAAGGGCCGTTCTTAGCCTACCAAGCCCAACAATTGTACTTGGCCCAACAAAACAACTCACATAAGACCATAGGAACACTTTCAACAAGTTAGTAAGAGGCAGATAGAAGAAGTACTCTCAACAAGGAAAATTCGTAGAGAAAAAAGTGGAAGCAATCAGGTTTTAAGGACGCATTATTAGAAAACAATAAAATAGCAACAAAGTTTTCATTGTTAAATCATTCTTCTTTGTCCTTATTTACTTTTAACGATGGATTTTCGATAATATTTTTCAATAACTAAGTTGGTTGTCACTATTTTTTTAGTGACGAAAATTGCTATCCGTTGCTAATGTGAAGTATTTTCATTACTAAATCAAAATAAATAGTCATCTTTTAGGTTTAGAATCTATCAAAAAACTATCGCTATTCCCCGTATTATCGTCGTTATTTAGCAACGTAATTGTCTTATTAATTAGACTCACTAAATTTCTTCACAAATCCATCATCATATTCGTCACTATTTAACGACCGTATCCGTGTCCATCGCAAAGAGATTTAATTTTGGTCGCTAATTCGATCTCTCGATCCGTTGATAAATGAAAGAATTATATATATATATATATATATTAGTAGCAAACAACTACAAATAAAACCTTATTAAAACACAAAATAATATTTAATAAAATTAAAATCAAATAAATATATAAATGCCTTCGAGTGTACGAAAACATTAAAAACCTAAAAAAAGAAAAAGAAAATTAGCATCATCTCCTCCATTATCTTTCGATCGCCGGGTATTGAGAGAAACGGTTGACTCTCGAGTTGTGAGGGGAGCTAGCAAGAGGGATGCGAGTTTGTTGCAGCTCCCATAACGCCACCAACACCATCTCTATCCGACTTTATAGATTGTGAAATTTACCTATTCCTAGAATTGTCGAGTAGAGTCAAACTCCATCCTCTTGATCTTATTTTAGTACTCGGGCATTAACCTTCCGAATGTTATCACTAGGATACCGAATGTGATAGAGGATGAGTTGTTGCCGAATGGAAGTAATACTAGAATGCCTATATTTCGAGATCGTACACTCTCTACTTCTTCTCCCCTCTTACAATATCAAAATATAACTTAGTCATATTAACATTTAGAGATAATGAATTACTCTTATGTTGCTCCTTATCATGCGTTCTTATTTAATTGAAATAATTGTAAAATTAAATCATGAATATATTTTTTAGATGTATTGACATATGTATATTTATATATAAAAAAAAATGTTAGCCATTATTATTCGAGATCGTATGTTGAAGAATGACCATCTTTTCACTTGTGAGTGTTCGGGAACACCTCGTAAGGATTTGAGTTATGCCTAATTTATTATACCGAAAAAATAGATAAAATAATATGATATGCCTTAAATATAAATATTAATTTATAACATAATGGATAATAGGATTTATCAAACGTTTAGTGAGCTCAATCAAAGAGATGGACCCCCTATATGCCCGGATGGGCCAAGCATCGACAACACTCATCTTTAATATGTAGTTCTAGAATGCTTGTCGAGATCGGGCTCGAAACTTAGGTGTGGCCCAATCACGGCGCCATGCATCCTACACCTCGCTTTGTAATATATGTGGGTTTATTGGTTGTTTGCTTCAACTTGTTCACCATGTCGGCATACCATCTTCATGCCAAAATCTTCCATACGTCCTTAATCGCCGCTTCCATGGGTTACATCCTATAAAAAGTACTTTTACATGAAGAAAAAAATTAATATTAATACATTTCATGTTAAATTAATACTTTAAATAGAATATAAATAAATAATTAATATATTACTTTAAACTCATTAAAGTAGAGGTCTTTCGTCCTTATGGAGATAAACTTCTATGTGGAGCTAGCAGAGTCCAATTGCTCTTTGAAAATCACAATAATTTGAGTGAAGCACTTATTTGATGAAACCAAACTATCGAATAAAATAAATAAATAATAAATAATTGAATTAATGATTTCAAAAATATATAAAAATATAAAACCAATTATCATATATAAAGCATATTACTTATTAGTTATTGATGAGTTGATGACCCGTCTAGTACTAGAAGAAACCACCAAGGGGACCTTCGTAGCTAGGGGTATTATCGGTGGAGATGCAAACGTACTAAGCACCACTATCAAGTGTCACGAACATGTACAATGCTACTATCAAGTGTCGCAACCATATACAATGCCATTACCAAGTGTCATGGCCATATACAACGCCACTATCAATGGCACGGTCACGATTAGTGCCGCAATGACAAACATTACCTCTATCAACACCACAACCATCGCCACTACGAGCATATCTATATGCATGGGATGGTGCGGTTGAACAACCAAATTCATGAGTCATATCTTTAAAATAACACCTAAAACAGTTTAACAAATATAAAAAATAAAAAATAATTCAATTAAAAATATATTATAAATTATTTTCATAAAAAAACAAATAAAAATTCAGCATAGTCTTCCCCGTAAATTACATATTGCTTAATTACCGGAGATACCACTCGCATAAAATACAAAACATCCAAAATATACAACAAACATTTAAAAAATACATAATAGATAAAATGATATAATTTAATGAATACAATAAATGAAATTAATCTTTAATTATAACTATCATAACCATCTTCTAAGTCTTTATCTCCCTTAGTTGATTTTGATTCATATTCACTCTTATCTTCTTTATCGACTTTAAGTACTTCTATATCTATAAATGACACATTTAGATCATTCAATGATTGTTCCTCACCATCTTCCTGGATCAAATTATGTTGGATTTTTGAATCGTTCTTCTAAAATGGCTTTGCATTTTGTTAGACACCAATGAAGATTCGACAAATGAAATACAACCTTATCTTTTATCTTACAAATAGCCCATCAATCCTGATTGTCGCGTTTTAATCTAGGATTCATGACATATACACTTGAGCCACTTATGCCGTTAGAACAAAAGATTTGTATATGTTGAAACTACTTCTATAGTTTACCTTTTCTAGTTTATACTATGGATGAACCCTTATTTTATTTGATATAGGATCAAACCAATCACATTTGAATACTACTCTTCTCTTGATTGATATTAATGGATACTCCAATTATAAAATTTTAGTCAATATCTTGTAATAGTCACTCTCATCTACACTATAATTAGATTCTTTAATACACACTCTACTATTCATACTTGCTTTGTCCGAATCATGTCCTTATGTGTGAAACATTTATTCAATCATATTTCAAGATCTTTTATGAGATGGTCTATCATAGAGTTGAGTTATGTATATTTTGTTTGTAAAATTGACATCCATGATAAAAAGTTTAGTTAACGAATCAATGAACTTTATCTACTAACAAAATCCAATCTAAAATGAGAATACTCACATATTCACTAAATCATTCAACAAACTCAGCTTCAAATCGACCATTAACCTCATACTTGAACATATAGAGATTATTTTTTTGTAGTTGGGCAATGTATCCACCGTCAAGAAAGAACATGTTTAACATATGTGAATAATGTGTATATTATGATTTCTAATTAAAAATAAAGAATATTGAAATTAAATTTTACATACTTACTTAATATAAGGTTTAACTTCTTGACAATTTAATAATATATATTGATAGGCTACTTTGTATTTTTTTTTTTGTCAACCTCCATACTATGGCTTGACCAATTCATCATCCATGCTGTTTGAGTATGAAAAATATCCCTTCAATATGATCACTCAATTTTTTACCACACTTAACGCTACGTGGCACTTTCCGATACCTAGTATTCACATGAAGCTCGAAGTAGTGTGAACAAAACAAAAAGGCTTCTTATACTAAATATGCATTGCATATTGATCCTTTCACTTGTGCTTTATTCCTTACACTCCTTTTAAGCTTTCAAAGATACCTAAAATATTGAGTTGGTTAATGATTGATAATTGAAAAATCACTTAGTTTAACAC